TGCAAAGAGGTAACACGTGTTCACGGCAGATAGACTCTTTCCCCCTAGGGCCGACTTTGGAAGCACTTGAGGAATTGCTGGACTTGTAGCTACTTGGGCAGTGCCCTGTGAATAGCTCTCTATTGATCAAAAAAGAGCTGCCTGGTTTATAGATGGCAGTTTCAAGGTGAATGGACAGTACCGTGTTTGGAAGGCTGCCACTCTGATGGAAGAAGGTAAAAACAAATCAGCTCAGTGGGCCCCATTACATGCTGGGAGCCCCTCTGTTTGAGTTTTGAACCAACTCATGGGCAGTGGTTATTGTCTTGGCCGTGTGGTTAGGTAGAAAAGCAATGGAAAGCTGGCCTATTAAATGGATGCCTGTAGGGGGCATGGCCCTATGAAAATCACTATGGGAATTCTAGGGGTACACTAAAGTAGGGCATGTCTCTGGTCATCCTAGAAGGAGGATGGGAAGGTGATTGGAACCAGCAAGTGGATATCCTGACGTGCTTACGTGATGTGGCTCCTACATCCATGAAATAAGTGGATGTGGGGGGCTGCAGCAATGCAGAGAAGGAATGAATCTAAACATTGTCCTCTTGTACCCTCTGGGGCACAAAATGCCACTAAGAACTTTTCTATCTGCTGTTAAGAACCGCAGAGGCTGCGGATGGCTATGTTGCAGATTCCCCGGGGGAAGAGCTGGCAGTTCGACTGATCCTCGTAGCCATCAAAGGCTACAAATGGGTCTTGACAGAAATAGACACACTTTGGACTGGACTTTGCATGCCCAGAGGCAGAGGCAAATGCTCAAAGTACTGTCAAAGGACTGGACCAGAAGATATTGCACCAATTTGGACCTCTGAGTAACATTTCTTCAGATCAAAGAACACACTTTACAGTCCATAGTGTCCAACAGTGGGCAAAGAGATATCACTTCAAATGGACATATCATGTTGCATATCATCCTCAGAGTAAAGGGCTAGTAGAGAATTGGAACGGGCAATTGAACGTTTGTTGATTAAAACGGGAAGGGGAGATAAAGGCACAGAAGGGCTGACTTACACACCTTCATGACTTCACACCTCACACTCAGCATGAGGGTGACCAAGGGAGGGTCTTCACTAGATAGATTTCCCCACTTTTCTGAGGGATCTGGAAGAGAAGGGGTTAGGGAGAATGCTGGTATGACTCTGCAGTTCTTCCCATGAGAGACGATGGTGGTATGACTGTATTTTTCTCTTTTTTCTCCACATTGCCTCAATTTTCTTATTTTTTTACCTGATGCAGTAGTCCCAAGGACCAGGGCTTCAACTGTGGGTGCTGGAATCAGGATGATCCCTAAGCAAGAAACTGTAACTAGACTTTTAAACCTTTATACCAGAATTCCTAAGAGGCTGATGGGGTGGATTATGCCTTTGCTAATCTGGCAAAGTTGGGATTAATAGTGAATGCAGTTGTATTGGCTAGTGGTTGAGAAAGCCCACTAGTTGTGTACCTATGTCACCCTACCCTATATGAATGGGAATGGACTGAGGGGGAGGCATATGGTAGACTAGTATTAGTGTTGGCAATCTGGAACAGCATAGTACTAGGCTTAACCCAACGTCCCTTCCAACAGGGAAAAGATTGAGTAAAAATAAATCACAAATAGAGAGAAGAAGAAATAGTAGCTGAGGGTAAAACAATGAATAAATGGATTATGCAACAAGGAAAATCCAATTTTCCTTGAAGGAAGATCAGAGCAAGAGATGGTATTGTCTCTTAAGAGAGCTCAGTTATACCAGATTCCTGAAACGGTGAAGACTGCTCCTGTTTTTGGAAACTGACAGAGTTGAATGGAAGCCTGCAAACCTGAGTGGCATTGCTTTGGGAGACATTTTGATCATATGAAATGATGATGAGCTGGACCAACTGTTGACGATTGAGTGAAACTCGAATAATGTGCCACTATCTTCTGACTCGTATTTTTCAGGTTACGTCTACTACCCATACCGAGAGGCAATATGGTGTAATGCTGGCGTTATCTTATCATTAAGATGGAAATACTGATATTGATAATTAACTCTATTGGGAAATTGAGTTAAGAGCCTCCTACTCCACCCTGCCTCCTCCAAATGTTAGGCATATGTTTGTTTTGCTGTAGGAGAGCTTTGGATAAAGGCCTGGTGGTGGCCTGCATAATAAAGAATTTGGCCTTGCCCAAAGAGAAGGTCTGGCCTTTGTCTTTGGCTTCTGGGAGGTAATCCATGCCATACCTGATAGACATGTCTTTGTTTAGATGAGGGATGGCCAAACTGGATTTTAAGGTGGGGGCTGGCCATGCCAGAAAGACCAACCATGTGATTTAGGTGGAAGCTTTGTGTTGTTATTAGTTGACCCAGGGACTAAGTTCAGTCACGTGGGCAATCAATCAATCATGCCTACATAATGAAGCCCCAGTAAAAACTCTGGACCCCGGATAAGCTTCCCTGGTGAGCTTCCCTGGTACTCCATGCATATTATCACACACCAATGCTGGGAGGGTCACACATCCTGACTCTGTGGGAGATTGATACCAAACCACTTGATCTCAAATTCGTGTGCCCGATGTGCAATAAGCCAATCACTGAGACACCAGTGCTTGCAGATTGAGAAAGTTTTATTTGAATTGGCCAAAACGAAACTGTGGAAGCACAGGTTCTCTCAAATCTGCTTTAAGGAAAGAAGAAATCAGGGAGTCTTTACAGAGCTAAGGGGCTTGGGAGGAGGAGTTTTGGAGAAACAAAGGGGAAGTCCATGTTTCTTTCACTCCAGATAAGCCTTTGGGCAACCAGACTTCCAGGCATCAACGGCAGCTGAGGCTGGTTATCTGGTGGTTGTAACTTCCTTAAAGGCATTCTTTTTCTTCTGCAAAACAAGCTCATAAATCCTTATGACCCTTGAGTCACCCCTCAGATTAAACAAGAAAATAGCAAATTAACAAGATTAACTTCTTTTTATCTGTGTCTGTGTTGGGAACAAGGTCAAAGGGTAACCCTGTTCTTATTACTGTTCTTATTACTCTTATTACTTACTGTTCTTTACAGTAACCCTCAGGTACCCAGCTTCAGGATGGCAACAGAAGTTTTGCATTTGGAGCCCTCTAGACTTTGCCCTATGCACTTCTTCCCTTGGCTGATTTTGATCTGTATCCTTTTCCTGTCATAAACCATAACCATGAACATAACACCTCTTAGTGAGTTCTGTGAGTCCTTCTAGAGAATAATTAAACCTGAAGGTGGTTTGGGAACCCCCCAAACTTGAAATTGGTATCAGAAGTCTTGGAGACTGTGCCCTCAAATGTTGCAATTTGGCTATCTCTGGGCAATTAGTTAGGAAGAAGAAAAACTCAGATCAATTGCTCTGCTCCTGAGCCCCTTAGTATTTCTAAAAATAACAATAAGAAGGAAAAGCAAGCAAGCAAACAAAAATATGTGCCTTATGCACATCAAAACCAGAATAAAATGTCACTTCTCACTCATTAGGAAGGCTATTATTAAAAAGATGATAAGTGTTGGTGAGAAGGTGGAGAAATTGGAATCCTCATCCATTGTTGGTGGGGATATAAAATGGTACAGCTGCTTTGGAAAACAGTTTGGCAGTCCTAGTTAAACATAGACTTCCACAAGATCTAGCAATTCTACTCCTAGGTATGTACTCAAGAAAAATGAAAACCTACGTCCACACAAAAACTTATACATGAATGTTCACAGCAGCATTATTCATGATGGCCCATAACTGGAAACAACCTAAACGTCCATCAGTTGATGAATGGATGAATGAAATGTGATATATCCATACAATGGAATATAATTTGGTGATAAAAAGAATTTAGTCCTGATACATTATACAACATGGATGAACTCTGAAAACATTACGTTAAGTGCAAGAAGCCAGACACAAAAGGCTACATATTTTATAATTCCATTTATATGAAATATCCAGAATAGGCAAATCTATAGAGACAGAAAGATTGGTGATTGCCTGGGACTGGGCAAGGGTTGGGAGGAAACGGGGAGTGACTGCTAATGGGTACAGGACTGGTTGGGTGTAACCATATGTTCTAAAATTGATTGTGGTGATGGTTGCACAACTTTGTGACTATACTAAAAACCATTTATAATGAACTTTAAATGCGTGAATTGTATGGGATGTGACCTAGATCTCAGTAAAGCTTTTTTTAAAATCCCTGCCTTAGCAAAGAAGATGAACTCTCCACTTCAACGAAATTCAATCATCTGAGTGATTTTTTAAACTATGTTAAAGGCCTTCCCGGTCCTCTGAAAAGCGAAAGTGGACTGTGACCATTTTTTAAGTACGCCAAGAAAACCTGAAATGGAGCCCGGGATTTCAGAGCTCGATCTCACGGCTTCCATATTGTAACAAGCTCGGGCGATCCGAGAGCCGGTGTTCAGAATGCTCTGGAAGCCCTCCTCCAGCTCCTGGCCCGCAGCACTCGGCGAGATGGCGGAACTCGCAGGATCGGAGGGGTTCCGACCCCGCGACGCGCGGTTTGGGGGGGTTCTGGAAACCTGCTCTCCGCGGTCCTAAGAAGTACCCTCGACCCAAAGCGGAGCGTCCCCCAGCCCTTCCAGAGGCACTCCCAGGTGGCGCAGCCAGGGCTGGCCCGCTGCGCAATCGGGGAGCTCCCACCTCCCCAGGGGAGGGTGCGGGGCTCTGTCTCCACGCTGGGAGGATTGGGGACCCCGGAGCGCGCAGCTCCAGCGGACC